GATGAAGAAGAAATTGAAAATGCTACTTGTCCTGATTGCTCCGCTAGTTTGATAGAACAAAATAAAAGGTGAATGGAGGAAGATAAAAAAAAGAAAATTGAATGTTTTAAATGCGGCAAAACAAAATTACTAGGGTATAGAAAAAACTATTACACAATTTATTGTGTCGACTGCACTCCGAGTTATAAAGAATGAAAAAATAAACATTTTTGGTTTTGTGCTGATGACTGTCCCCAAGAAGATAATTAATTTTTGCCAAAAAGAAAGTAGCAAATATTTCCTTCTTCAACCAGATAATCAGCCCCCTCTTTCCGAATCTTGCCAGATTTTTTTAATTCTTCTTTGCTTGGAAATTGCAACCAATCCCGATAATTGTATACTTCTAGCCGGATAAAATTTTTTTGGATATCAGAATGAATTAACCCCGCACATTCACGAGCATTCATCGATTTTTTGGCTAATCAACTTTTAGTTTCATCCTCGCCGGTCGTGAAAAAAGTCTTTAAACTTAATAATTCTTTAATTTTTTTGGTCAAAAGAGAAAAATCAACATTTTTTCAACCCATTTCCTCCTTTTCCTCCTTGGACAATTCCTCCATTTCCTTTTCTAATTTAACTGCCAGGGGAAAGAAAGACAGTCCTCTTTTTTCTCCATATTCTCTTAATTCCTGGATTTCATTTTCCTCCCCCCCATAATTAGCCAATAGAAGGACGGGCTTATTAGTAAGAAAATTATAACCTTTTATTAACTCTTTTTCTTCTTTTGTTAAATCTAATTGGCTAACCAGCATTTCCTTTTCTAAGTTTTCTTGAACCAATTGCAAAACTTCTTTTTCTTTTTGGGATTTTTCATCTCGCACTTTCAACTTTTCCAATTTCCTTTTAATTTGTTGCAAGTCCGCCAAAATTAACTCTAATTGAATTATTTCAAAGTCTCGAATGGGGTCTACTGATTTTTCCACATGAACTATTTCTTTTTCCGGAAAACAACGAAGCACTTGGCAAATTAAATCCACCTCCCGAATATGAGACAAAAATTCATTACCTAATCCGGAACCTTGCGAAGCACCTTTGACTAAACCAGCAATATCCACAATTTCAATTACACTGGGAGTGGTTTTTTTGCTTTTTCAATATTTACTCAACTTTTCCAGGCGAGGGTCAGCAAGCGGCATTATGCCAATATTAGGTTCAATAGTGGCGAACGGATAATTAGCGATGTCTTTGATGTCTTTTTTGGTTAAAAAATGAAATGAGGAAGACTTGCCAACATTAGGCAAACCAACCAGGCCAATTTTGATGGGCATTAGTCTTTTTTTAGAAAAGCCACCGCGTTAGAGTGGTCCAAAAATTTAAATCCGCCCCGCACCTGTTTTAAGAAATAAGTAAGTTTATTAGTTTCGTCATATTTAATTTTCATCTCCTCAACTTTCCATCAACCAAGCAAAGTTTTTCTATCCATAATAATAAATTGAAAGTCATTTTTTAAAGGCGTAACAATTACGGCCGAAAAACATTCCCATATTTTATAAAGAGGCAAGGGAAACAAATAAGGAATTTTGCTTCATTCCAAGTTTTTATTGAAAAAATTATCTTTTTTTACTTTTTCTTCTTCAATCTCGATTTCCTTGTAAAGCGTGATGTCGATTATTAAAATTAATTCTTTTTCCCGGGTAAAAGTCTTTTTGCCCGCCTTATTTCATTTGGTTGAAGGATATTGCATTTCGCAAGTTTTACCAATTATTCATTTCAGCACTTCCGGAATTTTTTGAAAATCTTTTTCTTTTTTATAGACTTTGGCCTGTTTGCTATAATTATTCGGCTGACAAATTAGTTCGGTAATTTGATAATCAGTTTGGTTATAGAGAAAGAAAATTGATTTTTGGGTAATTTCCCGGCGGGCATTTTCCACTAATTCCGACAACTTTTTGGGACTTTCCGCCGCCAATTTTAAAATATTTTCCTTGACTGTTTTAGAAAAAAATCTTTTAAAGGTACAAGTAATTATTATTTTTTTGGGTTCTTTTGGGGAAGGCACAAAATCCTCCTCATAGTATTTTTTTTCGTAATCAATTTCCTCATCCATAAAAATACCATTATCGTCCTCAACTTTTTCCACAATATTTAGACAAGGTAGAAATTTACTTTTGTTCCAATTAGGTGGTGTCATTATAAAATTATTATTCATGGTTTTACTCATTTTTTGTGCTGTATATGGAAAGCGACTGTCCGCAAAAGATTTCTCTTCTTTCGAATAAAATGCCTCTTCCATTTCTGCTAACGGTCGGCTATTTTCTTTTTTTAACTTTCTTTCTCCGGCGAAAGCAAGCCCTAAGTCTTTTAAATCTATGTCTTTCAATTTTTCACTTTGGTTAACTGACTTCATATGTTAATTTTTATTTACTTTTTACTTTGCCATCAGAAAGAAAACACAAAAATTAATATTCGAAAAAGCAATCAGTCCAATTTTCCCGGACATATATAGAAAATTATACTATGGCATCAGGATATGCATATGGCCTTCATTTAAGACAAGAACATTGAAAAGGCAAGAAAAAATGGATAAATTGTCTTCAATGTCAAATATTTTATCACACAACTTTCTCTGCCCCTGCCCTCCTTTCCTGAAAATATAATTATAAACATATGCCAGAAATAGCCAGTTGAATTTTAATAGTTATTGCAATTTCGATACCGGTTCTAATTGGAGCATTATTCAATTACTTCCTTAATAAAAAGAAAGTCCAAGCCGAGACAGAAATCATTAAATTAAAGAACAAAATTACCAAAGAAATAACCTACGACCAATTAAAAACTGAAAATAAGCAAAAAGATATCAAAAACAAAATTGATATTTTTCAACGATTAACTAAGTTGGAGGAGGAAATAAAAAGTAAAGAAAACAAAACCGCCAGCGACCAAAAGAAATTAGAATCTTTGGAAATGATAAAAAAGGAGTTTAAAGAAACTTTTCCAGAAGAGACAAAAAAAGAACCTAAATTAATTGAGGAAGAAAAAAAATTAGAAATAAAAATAATAAAACCTACTAAAATTAATTTAAAAAGAAAAAACAGTAAAAGTAAAAAATAAA